TATAGGTGCCTGACACAATGCTCGCTATGTTTTTACTTTTAGTAGAGAAGGAGTCTCACTCTTGCTCGGGCTGGTCTGAGAACTCCCAAGCTCAAGCGATCCACCTGCTTCAGCCTTCCATAGTGTTAAGATTCAGGCATGAGCCACCACAACCCAGCCCACACTTTTTTTTTTCTTAGAGACAGAGTTTCACTTTATTGCCCTGGGTAGAGTGCTGTAGCATCATAGTGCACAGCAACCTCCAGCTCCTGGGCTTAGGCGATTCTCTTGCCTCAGCTTCCTGAGTACCCAGGACTACAGGTGCCAGCCACAATGCCCAGCTTTTGTTGTTATTGTTGCAGTTTGGCTGGGGCTGGGCTCGAACCCGCCACTCTCAGTATATGTGGCCAGTGTCCTACCCACTGAGCCACAGACACCGCCTACACACTTTGTATTTAATATAACACCCTTCAGGGTTTCTCTGTCCCCTAAGAGACATGTGGGTATGCAGGTAGACTATCCAGTATGGGTTGAGCTCTGGAGCTTACTTGCCATAGGATAAATAACTAGAGAAATACTGGCTCATGTGGGGAGTATAATTTAACTGTCTATTAGACAGACTGTCATCACCCTAATCCTGAGTTTATCTTTCTATCACTAACACTAGGTCAAAGAGATGTGTCTCCTAATATGTGCCATACATAACGTACATATTATGTAATGAATTATAGTCATAATTATTTAACTTATTATCCATTACAGCAAAGCTTGAAGAGCCAATTTCCAGTTTCTAGGGAACAGCTAAATGCAGCTCAATGACATCGGAAAGAAACAACCAGACTAATCCAAAAGGTGGGCTATTTTTCTGGACAACTTTCCCATCAACAAGTCAGAACTGTGAAAAAGAACTGTTTTGAAATAAAAGAGATTTCAAGGAAATAACCAGATGTAATAAGTAGTCCTGGATTGGATATTAAATATGAATTATTATTATTAACTTCAAACGATGTTAGGGTGGCGCCTGTGGCTCAAAGGAATAGGGCGCTGGCCCCATATACTGGAGGTGGTGGATTCAAACCCAGCCCAGACCAAAAAAAAAACAAACAAAAACTTTAAACAATGTTATTTACCTGTTTAAACAATTTTATTTACTTGTTATCTTTAAAAGATACACAATCAAGTAAAAGATGTAAAAAAATGTAGATGAAATATATAAATAAAATTAAAAATATAATCTAAGAAAAAAGCCTAGGCTAGAGATACAGGTTTGGTAGTCGATTGCATGCATGGTAATTAAAACCATGGAATCACCTAGGAAAGTATAAGAAACAAGACAAAGAGATGGGAACCAGACAGAGCAGCCATATTTCAAAGACCACCTATGGGAGTAAGAACCATCAAACTGAAAAAGAGCAGCTGGAGAAATAGGTGGACCATGAAAAGAATGATATTCCAGAAGCCAATGGAAGAGAAGGTTTCAAGATGGACAAAGCAATTCATTATGTCAAATCCTAAGCTCTAGCTGGATGAAGACTGACAAGAGGCTAGCAAATAAATTAGAGAAGGTCAGTGATGACTTGATTGACAGGAGGTTCAGTAGGTGTGCAGCGGAAGTCAGAGGAGAGGAATGAACTGGTGGTGAAGAAGTAGAGGCATCCCTCCTCTTTCAAAGAAAGAAGCTGGAGTTTCTCAGAAAGTTGAGAACCTGTATAAATAATACACACTGTTTAGATAATTAAATTCCTAGTGATTAATGCCAACATGCAGTAACACTTAAGTGAAAGATAGAACGTAAGGGAGAGATAGTAATGGTGGAGTTGTTAAGACAAAGGATTCCTCTTGACATTCCTCATGTGATGCCCACATTAAAAAAAATTTGCGGGGCGGTACCTGTGTTTCAGAGGAGTAGGGTGCTAGCCCCATATGCCAGAGGTGGCGGGTTTAAGCCCAGCCCTGGCCAAAAACTGCCAAAAAAATTTTTTTTGCTATTTTATTTGTAACAGTCTGCAAATTCAATATAACCAGAGTTTGTTTTTTTCTATTTGTCTCCTAAAGAAAAGTAATGTTGCAATCATTTATATATGTATGTGTTTCACTGTATGAAATGGATTCTCTAGAATACATTTTTGGAAATCAAATAATTAAGTAAACTAGGAAAAGTGTCTTTTTTTTTTTGGAGATAGAATCTCCCTATGTCACCCTGGGTAGAGTGCTGTGGTGTCACAGCTCACAGCAACCTCAAACTCTTGGGCCTCAGCCTCCCAAGTAGCCAGGACTACAGGCGCCTGGCACAATGCCCAGCTATTTTTTTTGTTGCAGTTGTCATTGTTGTTTAGCTGGCCTGGGCTGGCCTCAAACCTGCCAGCCTCAGTGTATGTGACTGGGGTGGTAATCACTGTGCTACAGGTGCCAAGCCCAAAAAGTGACTGAACCCTTTGGTTGTTATCTGCATTCAGATTATGTCTTTATAAATATACTAATAATAAATTACTTTAATTTTATAACATATAACCCCACCCTAATCTACATGTATTAGATATGCTGGATGTGTATTATTAGTCCCATCTGACCCCAGACCATTCTGTCTGCTATAAGGGCATTCTGCTTGGAAACATGAATGATGTTCCCTCTGGAGGAATACTATGTGTCCAGAAGAGTTCTAGAAGAGCTAATACTCACACAGCCCTGAAGCTATTTAGCTTTCTTAATTAATAAATTCAGGAACCCTGGTCTTTTAAGTTTAGCCCAAATGTCTTAATGGTCTTTTAAAAAAAAAATCAGGATATTCATAAAATAGCTTTGAAGAAAAAAACATATTCTCACACTAACACAAATATGTTTTTTACAATATTGATAATAATTACACAATATATTAAGTCTCAGACTTTCAAGTGCTGGAATTTTCTTAAATTGAGTCAGGTCTACATTATACTCTATACAAAACCTCCATAGTTGACCACCTTCCTGCAATTGACCACCTCCTTAAGTTGACCAAATTTTCATAAAATTTGTACCCTGAGTACCACGTGTATCTATCAGTATACAGTAGGCCTAGTGTGACCACCTCTGTGTGTTGACTAGTTTTTTATAGTCCATTGGGTAGTCAATTTACAGAGGTTCTACTATAATAATTATTAAGCAGGCTCAGAGCCTATAGCTCAGTGGCTAAGGCACTGGCCACATACACTGGGGCTGACAGGTTCAAACCCAGCCCAGGCCTGCCAAACAACAATGACAACTACAACAAAAAATCAATAGCCAGGCATTGTGGTGGGCACCTGTAGTCTCAGTTACTTGGGAGGCGAAGGCAAGACATTCGCTTAAGCCCAAGAGTTTGAGGTTGCTGTGAGCTGTGACACCATGGCATTCTACTGAGGATGACATAGTGAGACTCTGTCTCAAAAAAATAAAAATAAAAAAAGAAATTATTAAGCACTTTCAATGCACCAAGTATTATTCTTGGTACTTAAGAAATATTGCATTTGATAGTTTCAAACCTGTGATATAAACACTATTTATCATCATCCTCATTTTACATATGCCGAAAGAGATTAAATCCTGCTATATCCATACCAATGTAGATTTAAAAAACAAGCTATCTGGAGGCATCTGTAGCTCAGTTGGTAGGGCACTGGCCACATACACCGAGGGTGGCAGGTTTGAATCCAGTCCTGGCCAAATAGCCAGATGTTGTGGAGGGCGCCTATAGTCCCAGCTACTTGGGAGGCTGAGGCAAGATAATGGCTTAAGCCCAAGAGCTTGAGGTTGCTGTGAGCTGTGACACCACAGCACTCTACCTAGGGCGACATAGTGAGATTCTGTCTCAAAAAAAAAAAAAATACTCAAAATCAAAGCTAAAAATGTGGTTGGCAAGCTATGTTACAATAAATTCATAGAAAAATGGAGATGGTGTGGGAAAATAAAAATAAAAACTTTCCCACAGTGTGAATATACTCAACGCTACTAAAGTATATAATTAAAAGTGATTAAGATGGTAAATTTTATGTGATGTGCTTTTTACCACAGTAAGTGAAAAACCAATACCAATGTTAGCTTTGTTAGAAAAATAAAAAAGCTTCTTTCCTATATTATTTCTCACAATAGGTATTTCTTTTTTATCCACAATGAGAATGTTTAACAGTATTCTTTTCATTATTAAGGCATAGAGATCATTGTTCTATAGCTCATGGAATTAATATCTATAGGTGATTTATAGAAATAGAAATAACCTATTGTAAGAAGATGAAAAATATAGTGTAATACTTAATTATATTTTACTGAAAAATAAAACTTCCATAATAATAATAAAGATGTAATTCTCTATAATAAAGATATAATAATAATAATTATTATTATTATTATTTTTGAGACAGAGCCTCAAGCTGTCGCCCTGGGTAGAGTGCCGTGGCATCACAGCAACCTCCAACTTCTGAGCTCAAGCAACTCTCTTGCCTCTGTCTCCCAAGTAGCTGGGACTATAGGCGACGCCACAACACCCAGCTATTTTTTGGTTGTAGCCATCATTGTTGTTTGGCAGGCCTGGACTGGATTCAAACCCACTAGCTCAGGTGTATGTGGCTGGTGCCTTAGCCGCTTGAGCCACAGGTGCCAAGCCACAAACTGTTTTTTTATAAGTAGAGGAAGTTCATGAGAGCCTCCTATAGTATTTAGCTACTCTGTATCCAAAAAACCCTTGGAAAGAAAGTGGAATGATCTGGGGCCCTACAAAGCTTAAGAGAAATTAGTAAAAATGTGTTGAGAAATGCACTGCTGCAAAGGTCCTTTCCAACAACTCTAGCTACTCAGAACAGCTACTGATACCTCAAAAAAAGGCTATTGTTGAACCTGGTCTTTATGAGGAGAGATATTCTAATGATTCACATAATCACAAATAAATCTAACATTATAGACTCTGTAGACTATACACATAAAAGACTATACTGAGATTGCATTCAGGAGGCTTAAATATCTTCTGAACAACAAAACTTTTTGTTAACTATATTTGAAAACAGACTTCTCACCTGCGTGGCCTAGTCCTTGGGGACATCATTTCATTCCCAAGTATGTGGTATCGCCTTGCTTCATGCAGTAACTGGTAACACTCAGGAGAATTCTGGATTAATTGGTCCACCTCAACTGTTTGAACAAAGTAGTTGGGATGCAACAGAGGGAGTCTCACATGTGTCAGGAGCTCATGTAACAGGGGTCTTCTTAGATCAACAGCACGATAGACCCAACGCATGACGGCTTCAAAAACCATCTCCTCTTTGCCAATAACAAGTTCATCGCTGCAAATGTAATCGATAAGTTCATCTTTGTCAAGCTCAAGAAATTCTTCATGCTGGGACACGTCCTCAAAAGTCTGTAATGCAAAAGTTTTGCATTTTGTGAAGAGTGTTTTGAGAGAATGGGTATCAGCAAAGCGCTGGATTCCTAAGCAATTACAGGGATCAAGTTGCTCCTCCAAGAACTTGGCACATGCATCACGGAGAACACTGATCTGAAAGAGGCTTGAAGTTTCAAAGAGGTATTGTACATTCTCTGTAGTGATCTTCACCTTTCCAGTATAAACATACTGCAAAAAACATTCCATAGCTTCAGCTAAAATACCATTGATCTCAACCAGCATTTCTCGGCTTTCCCTGTGATCATTACAAAACATAGCTCTGAAGTAGCTACTGCAGGCTGAGAGAACAGCTCTATGACAAGGAAATTCTTTTCCTTCCACACAAATGATGACGTCTGTGAATAAGCGGCTATCTCGGAACTCATTAAATATCTGGAGTATGTTTTCAGCATGGGATGATCCTGAAGAGAAGTCAAAAAACTCATGACCTGTCAGAGATTTAGGGTCCATTTCAAAAACTTTACGCTTAGTTGCTGGGGAATCACGCACCCCTAGATCCTCTCTGTTTAGTCTGCGTCCCAATATTAGTACCATTGTTACATCAGTTGACTATAAAATTGTTGAGAAATGATTGTTAAGGATCTTCTTCATGTGTCTGAAAAGCAAAAAAAAAAAAAAAAAGAAAGAAAGAAAACAGAACATTTCAATATGTAAAAAAATTCAGCATTCAAGTTACATAATTTTATTTTGATGTAAACACTACAACAAAATCACGCAATTAACGGTCCCTTTTATGAATAAGAAACATCCCCAAACTCCCTCAGAAATGACCTTGGGGCTTGGCGCCTGTGGCTCAAGTGGCTAAGGCACCAGCCACATACACCTAAGGTGGTGGGTTTGAATCCAGCCCGGGCCCGCCAAACAACAATGACGGCTGCAACCAAAAATAGCTAGGCGTTGTGGCGGGAGCCTGTGGTCCCAGCTACTTGGG